ACCTGGGAACTCGAAAGCAAAATTATATTCTGCGCCGTCTACAAGCTCTCCCACCCTCGGTCGTTGCCTTCGCAGAAGCAAACTCAATATCTAAAGCATCCCTCAATGCAGAGTTTGCCTCAGGTAGAAGTGCTGCGATGTACCTCTATCGTTTGATGCTCAAGGTTCGGGGGATTCGAGAAAGGTCGACGCCATGGCAACCAGTCCAAGCCGTCCAAGCCGCACGACCGCCGCAACCGTCGCAACCAAAGAGGTTTAAGGGCGTGAGATTTCCGCGAAATCTTCCGAAAACATGCCAGTCCAACAAGGCCCGAAATATAAAGATGGATCGTCCGCAGACAGCTCTCAGTCAGATGTTCTTCTGGCCAAAGAATGGTGGAAGACACCAAGTCCTCAATTCATCACTAACGACACACGATCTCAAAACCCCATCATCAAAGCAGCAGTTGACCGAGTGGATATTGAATTGCACCTTATGTGCGCCCGCTGTGGGGTGTCTCCAGAATCCAAACCCATTAACAGAATGCCGGCATTCTGTACGAAACTCGAGACACGCCGGAAGCTACATTGCACAGCGTCAGCTGTGTACATCGGAACCTCGGAACCTCGGAACCCGAAGGGGAGGTAGAGTCGGTCCGACCAATTTATGATCCCTCAAGACTCGAGAATGTCATTTGCCAGGCCTTGCAATCTTGCAAAGACAGCCATGAACGAAGGACTCATATCCCGCTAAGGTGGTCCACTTCTGATAATTTTCCATTTGTTTCATCTTCGTAGCTTGTTTTTGTCGTCTCACATTACGTTATACCGCAGTAACTGGCAACGAAGCGTAATTACGCTTTTAGGCATAGTATGTGGAGAGTGGCGCCGGCGGGGTATTTGAGCCTGTCAATTAGTGCACAGACAGTATCAGCCTGCCTAATTCAGGCGTTGTTGTTTCAGCCTCTGACGACCTCGTCGTCGCCGTGTAGACCTCGCTGTCATTGTAGCCTCCTTATATATACCGTTATTAGCCAGCCCCCGATGGCGCAACAACGTCCTGCCCTACGCGATATCGCGCCGAATCAACTCGTCGCTGTTAGAACTGAACGTACTAAGCTCGCCACGAAGCCTCGCCGTGGTCCGAAACCTAGAGACCCTCGAGTACAGCGTTCTGGATCGTACTCACCGCCTCCGATCGTACACGGCGCCTCGCGTAAGTCATATACGCGCGAGCAGAAGCTTAAAGTGATCGATTATATGACAAATGAGCGCGTGTTTGACGATTCTTGGAGGCTTACTGGCCAGCGCACGCGCTGCCGCCGTGGGCAGAAGTGGTTTGATGAATATCATCGGCCGCCAACAAATCGAGAGACTGCTTTACACTTTAATCGTTCGGAGCGCACAATTGAGAGCTGGTGGAGAGAGGCGCCAAGGATCCGTCAGATGAAGAAGGGCACTCAGCAAGATCACTTGATGGTATAGCTATCGTTATATATGGGTAGTTTATAAGCTGAATACGTTTAGGTGCAGAAGGAGGCGCATCTAGCGGTTGAATTTAAGCTATACCTATTGATTAATGCCCTAAGAGACCTCCACTGGGCAGTATCAACAAAGATGATAAAGCGCCGGGGTAGAAAGCTGTTACGAGACCAAGATCCAGTAGCTGCGCAGAGCTTTAAGTTCTTAAATGGCTAGTTTTAAGGCTTTATTAAACGGTGGTGTTATAGCTGGCGTTGTCAGACAAAGAAGGCGCAGTTAAAACCTGAAGAACTACAGCTTTATGTTAATAACTAGCTCTGTTTCTTTTAAAGGATGTGTCTGCGTGTTAAACTACTCGCTATTATTAAAGACGTGCCCAGCATACCTGGCCTACTATGTCTTCCTTTAGTATTGCTGTTAGTACCTCTAGAGCTACCACTACACACCCATCAGTTTGAGCTCCACTTAATGATTAATATGGATGAAACACTACTACCCTTTGAACTCGCCCATAGCTACACGTGGGCGCCTACTGGTTCGATGACGGTCTCTATCAAGCAGATACATAGTGGATGGGGCAAACGCTAGGCCACTACTGTTATCTGAATTAGCGCCGACGGCAGTATAGTCTCTATTATGTTGGTATTCCACGGTGAGGGTACTGTGAGAGAGAGAGAGGCCCATCTATACGAGCCAGGTATTCGTGTAGAGTTTAATGAGAAGGCGTATAATAACACTAATTTAATGTTGAAGCAACTAAATGAAGATATCGCGCCATATCTTAATAGGCAACAGGCTCTTATCGTTCTGGACTGTGTATTATTCCATAAAACTGAGCTAGTAAAGCAGATAATCCAGCAGCAGCTCGCATTAATGATGGCTATAGTACCTCCAGGTTATACGCCATGTTGCCAGCCTCTTGATGTGAGCTTCAACTACCCGTATAAGGGTTATTTAGCCGATTATATCAAGCAGTACAAGGAGCAGTTTGATCTAAACTATAATCATATCTGGACGACTTCAGAACGCCGAGTATTGTTAACAAAGGCTACTGGGTATGCGAGACGACAGATGGAGACTGTCTGTAGCCGGAATATCATCCAACGCGCGTTCACAGCCACTGGTATCTTGATCTCGCCGATGGGTGATGAAAACGCTATGATATTGATCAAAGATGCACCGAACTGGTCATTTGAAGGCTGGAGGGAAAGAGAACGGCAATACGAGGAGACTCAGGTGAAGCAGGAAGACTCTGATGAAGAGTATAACGACCTAGATACGCGTTTAATGGGTGAGGCTGAGCTTCAAATATACTTTGGCAACTACAACGTTAAGAAGCTAACAGTACTTTGTAAAATGAGAGGTATCAAAGGCTATACCACGGTGTATAGGCAGGAGAAGAAACGGGGCCTTATTAGGCTATTAGTTGATGACTTTCAGCGTGTGAGAACGAGTGGCGCGTGTAGTAGTGAGGCCATCAATATAAACGTATTTAAAGACTCAGATATAGAGGTTTCAGACGATGACGATGGTGCTATAATAGATAGTAACGTAGATACTGAATATAAGCCTTAATAGGTAGTAGAATACAATACTTGACACGATATTAAGGCGACTATACACTCTCTCCACCACGGCGGCGACGGCGAGGTCAAAGAGCCTCCGGATCACTACCTAATTCGGCTTAGTACATCGTATCAGCACCTACAAGGGCACCCTGGGCGCCATGGCGAGCTACACCACGTTCGTATTAGCTAAATACGCTTCGTTGCCAGTTACTGCGGTATTACTTGCATCTGCTTTATTTGTAGCATAGGTCAAATTCCTCCCACTCCTTGTACTGCGTCAAAAGTCCGCTTCCAATTCTCCAGTCGAAGATATCACATAATCTGATGCATGTATGATAGGAATCAATAGACTAATTTCTTGCTTATTCATGTTGCTGACTCATCATGCGCTCTGTTTAGTTCACTCTAGCTTGTCGGCAGACGGTGCACACTTACATCCTTGGTGCGACCTTGTCGGCCAACTACTACGGTCTTTCCAGGTGAAATTTCAATTCGGCAAAGGTTTGTCCGCGGATATTTGACATAGTTTGAGCCCATATTTGCCCCATCTGGCACCGATGCTGTCTCGCTTTAGGCTCAGACTTTACTTGTCCACAGATATCTCATTCCCTTCCAGCTCGCGGCTACAACCTTGCACGCCACTGCATAGCATTCTATGTACTCAAGGTTCCTCTGGCAGTATAGCCTTTTTTGGGTCTACATATGATCCTATTGGCAACATGATCTCTGGTATGGAGTTGGTGGAAGGGTGTTACAGAGGTCGCCCTTTTCTTATCCCACTTTTCTTGTGTTCTGTGTAGGGGTGATAGGGTGCTGTCGGAGGTGTTGTTTCAAATCTATCATATCTTCCCTATGATACGTGGACACTTGTTCCGTAGAGATAGTTTGGACATCTCTTTCCTTTATTTTATATATTGATACCCCTTTCCACTCTGTTTTAAAATTGCTTCGCTTTCGCAATTATAACCTCTAGACTAGGATTTCAACATATAACCATCCAATAACTCCAGATTCGCCGTCTCTTGTCGGTCGACGGGTCCAAATATGGCAGTGAGATCCTTGGAAGTATTCCTGGGGAGCTATTCACGAAGGAATTCTTGATGTAAGGTAAAAATAAATTTTCTTAGAAAGACCTAAGTAAGGAAGGCAGAAAAGTAGTTTGGGGTCGCCTATAAGGTTAGGTCGAGGTTTGCTAAATCTGGAAATGTTTCCGAGGCGCAGCTGCCTTCCAAGTGATTGCTGTTATCTACATTGATAGTGGAATGTCAAAATATGAAGGGACGAGTGCAGTTAAGTTGATAAATATTACCCTAGGTCATGCGCGGAAATTTGCGTCCAGAATAATGCGGATGCTTAATGAATACTTATTGGGCAGGCTGAATAAGTTTATCTTGTTTTAGCAAATGTGAAATTGTTCTAAGTAACTCTAGATGCGTAGTATGTAAAGAATGTTTCGAGTGTTTATATTGCTCACATCCATGGAGCGATAAAAGAATTTGCGCCTCGGAATTGGTCTCCTATGGGTCAATAGTACACACAAGACGCATACTTTGCGTTAGTTTTCAAAATATGTCCGTGTAATCTGTAAGCAAGAGAGAATCAGTGTGATGTTAAGAGGATTGCATTGTTTTCGGAGGATTCGCACTCCCATAAAGAATTACATGTACAATATGAATGCCAAGTCGGGAAAGCATCTATCTGACAAGATGACGTGATAGCGCGGTCGTACATAATGTGACTGAATTCGTGTGTGTACTAAGTGTCCATGATCCCCACAGCCAATTTATGATTGTGATGGAAAAGAAAGGAAATTTCGAATGAATTGAATTGCAGACGAATGTAAAATAGTTTGATCGTCGTGAGTAAACACCTTTCCCTCGATGCTCGAAGTTGTTCACCATAGATGACCTCGTCTTGACGCTCAAAAAAAGATTCTTCCTATAGGGAAGTGAAACAAAAAAGAATGGTGGATTCCAGCGCCGGGAGTCGAACCCGGCTCTGTCCGGATCATGCTTTGCTTGAAAGCGGACGATGCTAGCCGATACACCACCTGAAGTTCTGTTAGCAAAGTAAACCATTTAGATGGAAAGGCAGACGAACGCTGGACACTCCTTCGTTGGCTATTTGTTGTAATTGGTGGCACTTAATTAATATATGACTCTAAAAGATTTTTGTAGAGCTAAACGAGCCCAGCCCCACTCAACCTTCAAAAGTAAGTCCGCCACCTTCGGAACGTCAGAAACACGGTTTGAGATCAGGTATTATGGCTCATTAAGTCAGCTCTCACGTGGCTGGCAAAGATATTATTTCTTGCAATTGTTTTAACGCTTTTTGGCTCCCATTCTCAATCCTCGTGTCATTTCGGAGCATATCTTTGTCATAGAATGACGTCAGAGCTTCAAATAGACACCCAAATCATAAAAACCAATAGAATCTGGCTCTCATCCGGTATTCTGGCGCACATGTGAGGTAAAGATAAGGAAAATAATTTTTCTTTTGGTGTAATGGGGTTTCATTGGGTGGGACGGTCGCACGGGGGTAGGAAAAGGGGGATGCGTGTGGCTAGGGACGTGGAAGGATTGGTTATTTAGGCACGGCGCTCATATATTTGTCAGGGATTTTGTGTGTAAATTTTGGAGGTTATATTGGTTTCGAACTAGTTTACATGCTAGCATGTGGCTCCGATTGCCTAGACGAAGCAAATCAGACAGTGGCCAAAAGGATCCCCACGGTTGTATGTCTTGGGAAATGCTGGTAGAGGCGTAGGATATACGCCAACCATCTAGCCCTCCGACGCATCGAAAATTGCAAACATGCCCGTCGTCCCTTTCCCTCCATCCTGCTGCTCCTGTGGCACCCTTCCGCCGAGCCACATTCTGTTGTAATCCATGCCTGACAATGCCCAGCCAAGCTCCTCAAACACCTTGACCCCGTTCACATTACTACCAAAGATCTCTGCGATCATACTACCCTCCGAGTCCCTGACCCGCTCCATCGCTTTTCGAAGGAGCATTGAGGCATGAGCGTACGACTCTGCATAGAGCGGTCCAAACCGATGGCCGTGTTCACATCGCCGGACAATAATGAAGCCTGAGGAGTTGAAACCATCCCCAGCGACACTTCCAATGACGTATCCATAGGCATCCTTTCGCTCAAACATGGCTTCACGACTCCAGAGAAGGCGTCTCTCCATTCCTGTATGCGCGAAATCGATATCCGCAAGCACCCCGGTATTTACTTCGCGAATATCTTCTGTCCGCTCTCCTTCTTCCAGCGCATATTCTGTCGTAGGGAGGGGTTTCTCGTTCAACGAAGGACGAACCATGAGCCTTATCTTCGCGACATCAACGAATCCGCGACGCTCGTACGTCTTGATCTGTTCAAACACGCCATCCAAACCAACAATTGTGGTATTACTCTCAATGTATCTTGCCAGCAGCGCATGGAACAAGGCCCGCCCCCATCCCTTACCACGGTATGCGGCGTTGACGATGAAGAAGCCGACCCAGCCGGTACCGTTTGGGTACGTGAAGGCGACGACGCAACCTTCAGGTTTGGAGGTTTCTTTGGGAACGAGAACGAGCCAGTCCGAGCCTTGCCGAGCGGAGTGGAAGTGGGTGGCGGTGTCACTGGGGTCGCGGTTCTGGGGGAGGATTAGCGGAGGCGTGCTGAGGGAAGGATCTGGAGAAGCACTGGGGGAAACTCATACCCAACCTAATTCCTTCATGAGAGGCCACCATAGTTCTCGAGCTTCCTGTATAGACCCGGTCGGGCGTACGGTAAACGATGGGTCCTCTGTTACAGGCGCGGTAGCCATTGTAGCGAACTTCTCAGGTCTAACAGTCCAAATATAATTAAGTAGAAAGTTGAAATTCGAGTGTGAGAGGAAGATATATGGTACCCGGGACTCCGAAAGGGATTGTTCTTGTAATTCTAAACGAATGTTCCAATCAGCAGAAGTGTGTAGCGATGCACATCAAACAGCTGGGAACATACCTAGTAGGTCTCAACTTTGCGGGTTATGACAACTCCATGGTGCTAACTCCAAACTGCATAAGCTCGACCAGACACTCCAATTGCTTGACTTGCCCAAGCACTTGCTGATGGAAGACGCCCCGGAGCTACATCGTGATGATGCGGTGAAGGCGGGGCAGCTGATGTACTATTTCGCGGGATGAAGACCCTTTGGTTAAGCTCTTGAAGCAGGAATGACTTGACGTTGAAGTAGAAGCTTCGAAGATCTTTGACGTCGATGAAGTCCATTATACGACGTGAACCACGAATGAGATGGCCGTAACGACGGTAGTAGGGAGTGTTGTGCCTGGCGCATGCAGCGGTTGAAATCATCCAGGCTTCAGCCCTGTTAAAATCTCCCCGCCATTCTGATTCACCTCCCAAACTCTCCCATTCTACCCCCAAAATGCCACCCACACCCTGCGCGATATGCCGCACAAACCGAGCGCTTATTCTCCGGCCTAAAGATCACTCGAAATTGTGCAAAGAATGTTTCATCAATGTCTTCGAAACAGAAATTCACCACACAGTCACGACGAACAATCTCTTCAACCGCGGCGAGAAGATCGCAATCGGGGCTTCGGGGGGGAAAGACAGCACAGTTCTTGCCAGCGTGCTGAAGACTCTGAACGAGAGATATGATTATGGCGTCGAACTGATTCTACTTTCTATCGACGAGGGGATCAAGGGGTACCGAGATGACTCGCTCGAAACCGTTAAGCGGAACGCGAAGCAATACGATATGCCCTTGACGATACTTGGTTACGATGAACTATACGGCTGGACCATGGACCAGGTTGTTGAGCAAGTCGGCAAGAAAGGGAACTGTACATACTGTGGGGTTTTCAGACGTCAGGCGTTGGATCGTGGTGCTGTGAGACTGGGAGTTAAACATGTCGTTACAGGACATAATGCTGATGATGTTGCAGAGACTGTCCTTATGAACTGTAAGCGCTCTCTCATCGGAAAGAAGTATGCTGATGTGATTTCAGTGCTCCGTGGCGATCTCCCCCGACTCTCGCGAACAACCTCCATCGTAACCTCCACGCCCTCCGCCTCGAACGACCCGAATTCACATACAAACATCAAACGCAGTAAGCCTTTGAAATACGCTTACGAGAAGGAAATCGTCCTCTACGCGCATCACAAGAACCTAGACTACTTCAGCACAGAATGCATATATTCCCCTGAAGCCTTTCGAGGCAGCGCCCGCGCTCTGATCAAGAACCTCGAGCGAGTCCGACCAAGCGCAATACTTGACGTCGTGCGCAGCGGAGAAGACATGGCGAAACTCGTTCCAGGGGCGGACGAGAGCTGCGGAGGCGCTTGTTCAAGCCAAGTCCCTGCAGCCGAAGAGGAGGAGGGAGGATGTGGGAGCTCGAATGGGAGAAATGCTGGTGGGAAAATGGCGTCAATGGAAGCACATCTTGCACAGAATGAAGTTGCTGCTGAGAACGGGCTTGAGATCGAAATCACAATGAACGGTGTGAATGGGCAACGGCACAACAGACAGGATGGCGGTACAGCTTCCGTTGTAAATGGAAAGAAAGGAAGAGCGAAGGGACAAGCTTTTACACCGCGCAAGGCACCAAAACAACAAGTAATGGGACAATGCAAGCGCTGTGGATACCTCTCGAGCCAGGAAATTTGCAAGGCATGCGTTTTGCTCGAGAGCCTCAATAAGAATCGACCAAAGAATCACATCGAGGTCAGTTCTCACATGCAGGAGGAGACGAATGGAGAGGTGCACAATGTCACAAGAGGATAACGAAAGTCAAAATCGGGGCGGATTGAGCAATCCCTCTTGTGACCAAAGCCGGAAGTAGACTCGAAGCACAATCGCATCCTACCACGCCCTTCGTGCAATACATCACGAAATTACCGATACAGGCATAATTTCCCGAAGCGCTCACCATGTCACCGGATTAAACGTTACACAACCCCCTAAAACCGGTCCGACATCAACAGGCCTTTCCAGACTACGACCCGATCCCAAATATTCCCTTACCTTCCTATCTCGAAGAGCCTGGGTCAACTGCTAGCAGCCAAGCGCGTACAAATGAGGATTCTTGCGAACACCTGGGTGTGAGGGATCTCGTGGTTCTTGCATGGGTTCAGCCACACGTGCATGGTTAATATATGAGGCGGTCACTTGAGACACCCTCAAGGGCGGTGACGTAGAAGCAACACAAGGAGCGGGATAGGCTGAAGGGGGGACACAAGATCTGGGCTGTGTGGCCGGGTGGATGTTGATTAATGTCTTACCTTACGCTGGAGCCGCTTCTAATTTGCACGACAGGTTGGACAGGATATTGAATATGGCCATGTACTCATTCCCCAAATCCATAATTTGGATATATTCTCTACATCTGTCTCCCCATCTAGATACTTTTTTGAATTCTAGAGAAGCCGTTGGAAGGATCTAGAGACTTGGTAATACACTCAGTTTTAGGAATGAAGACATTACCCAATCCCAAACAGGAGAATATATTCAAGAAGTGAATGTGACAGAGGAAATGATTTAAAGAGCCTCTAGTCTAGAGGTCCAGTCTTTGGTTTGAGGATAATGAGACCTCAGCCTGAGGACTGGTGTGGCGAGACAAATGAGAAAACACTCGTAGTAATACAACCTACGAAAGACGAAGAATGAAATCAATGCAGTCCAGAGCCCAAAACTGATGAATCCCAGTGATATACCAACACCCTTCCAAGGCGCCAGAGCCAATCCAATTCGTATGCCAAACAACTTCTCTTACTCACCAATCCCTTCCCCCATGTACCCAAACCTCTCCCATCCCACTCCCTAGCGCTTTCTTCCTATAATATAATTAAGTATTACACATTACAATATCCTCACTGCCCAAGCTCGAAGCCAAAGGCACCTTGAAGTTTCCACGGCCCCTCAACCGTAATACTCTTATCACTCTGATCCCAATTCCCGCCCTTCACATTCGCCTCCTGTCCCAAAATCTTCACTCTATCAACCGTCAAGCTCTCCCCGCTCATACCTGCATACTCGAACTGGCCAGTCGCACTGAAAT